TCTTTAATTGTTTTAATACTGATGATTATGGCATACAACTCATGAAAACCCAAAATGCCTGTCCCAAAAAATTAGCATATTTCATCCCACCAATGAAAGACAAGTGTTTTTAATACAAAAAACGCCAACCTTCAAATAATCATGTTCAGTTATGCACTCAATACTTGGTCGGGAATCCTTTTGCATGAATGACTGCTTCAATGCAGCGTGGCATGGAAGCAATCAGCCTGTGGCACTGCTGAGGTGTTATGGAGGCCCAGGATGCTTCGATAGCGGCCTTAAGCTCATCCAGAGTGTTGGGTCTTGCGTCTCTCAACTTTCTCTTCACAATATCCCACAGGTTCTCTATGGGGTTCAGGTCAGGAGAGTTGGCAGGCCAATTGAGCACAGTAATACCATGGTCAGTAAACCATTTACCAGTGGTTTTGGCACTGTGAGCAGGTGCCAGGTCGTGCTGAAAAATGAAATCTTAATTTCCATAAAGCTTTTCAGCAGATGGAAGCATGAAGTGCTCCAAAATATCCTGATAGCTAGCTGCATTGACCCTGCCCTTGATAAAACACAGTGGACCAACACCAGCAGCTGACATGGCACCCCAGACCATCACTGACTGTGGGTGCTTCACACTGGACTTCTGGCATTTTGGCATTTCCTTCTCCCCAGTCTTCCTCCAGACTGTGGCACATTGATTTCCGAATGACATGCAAAATTTGCTTTCATCCGAAAAAAGTACTTTGGACCACTGAACAACAGTCCAGTGCTGCTTCTCTGTAGCCCAGGTCAGGCGCTTCTGCCGCTGTTTCTGGTTCAAAAGTGGCTTGACCTGGGGAATGTGGCACCTGTAGCCCATTTCCTGCACACGCCTGTGCATGGTGGCTCTGGATGTTTCTACTCCAGACTCAGTCCACTTCTTCCGCAGGTCCCCCAAGGTCTGGAATCGGCCCTTCTCCACAATCCTCCTCAGGGTCCGGTCACCTCTTCTCGTTGTGCAGCATTTTCTGCCACACTTTTCCCTTCCCACATACTTCCCACTGAGGTGCCTTGATACAGCACTCTGGGAACAGCCTATTCGTTCAGCAATTTCTTTCTGTGTCTTACCCTCTTGCTTGAGGGTGTCAATGATGGCCTTCTGGACAGCAGTCAGGTCGGCAGTCTTACCCAAGATTGCGGTTTTAAGTAATGAACAAGGCTGGGAGTTTTTAAAAGGCTCAGGAATCTTTTGCAGGTGTTTAGAGTTACGTCGTTGATTCAAATGGTTAGGTTAATAGCTTGTTTAGACAACCTTTTCATGATATGCAAATTTTTTGGGACAGGCACTTTGGGTTTTCATGAGCTGTATGCCATAATCATCAGTATTAAAACAATTAAAGACTCAAAATATTTCAGTTGGTGTGCAATGAATCTGAAATATATGAAAGTTTCATTTTTATCATTACATTATGGAAAATAATGACCTTTATCACAATATGCTAATTTTTTTAGAAGGACCTGTAGGGGGCACCCATTGGTGGTCCAGGTAGCCATATTGCAAGAACAAGGCCAAGCATATCGCCAATATACGGAGAAGATATTCTAAGTGGATTTCCGGACCGCTATTGAACGTCAGGAGCAACATCACTTCGGGGACGACCCCTTCGGGTATTGCTAATATGAAATGTTGCAGGGCCCTCAGCTTGAACCTGAGTATTGGAGTGTGCTCCAGTGGAAATGGGTGTGGAGGGGAATGAATCAAAACCTGCCTCACCTCTCTGTATGGAACTCCTTAAAGGACAAGTAATCAGAGAGCAGAGCCACTTCCCAGACGAGGGTCAGGAGCCCAGCACCTCCTCGTCACGCAAACTTCGGCACCCACTTGTAACTTCATGGCATCCCTATCGCACAGCCAAAATGGCACGCCTGCTGGGGGAGTAACAGGGAAGAAGCAAGCTAAAAAGGTACGAAAAAACAAATCAATTGGACAAAAACCAGTATTAACCCGCAAATGGGATATCCAGAAAGAAGATATATTAGAATTAGTAAAAATAGATGACAATTACAAAAGTGTATTGCTCCAATGCAACAGGGTTGGCCCAATCATCTCAGCACTGTTTACATTTGGAGAGCCAGTGCTGCTAGACGAACCAGAACATGATTTTTCTATGTGGAAAAACTACACGAAAAACTATTTTTACACAAACATGGAGTATTATAGAAAACCTCGCCTGGAAGAACCACAGAAGGAACAACGCCTATGCCCAGCGAAGCTCCCCTCTTACGGAACTATAACATATCCCTGTCCACCCACCTCCCCGTGGATATTTAATGTGGTCGACATAATGATGGCCAGAAAAAGGATCAAGGTCAAATGGGGACCAAACTACCGTGAACTGTATCAGAGTCAGTTCTGCGAAATCTCGGTGGGAGAAATAATGATCTGGACCACAAGCCCACTTATGGAGAAAACCATCCGTAAGAAAGTGATTACACCAGAGCGGTACGTAATAGAAAATCATCACCTCCCCTTGTGGGTAGTGGAAGATCGAGTGATAACACCATGGCACCGTTGGATAAACTCACGTGCTCGCATGGGCTACAGAGTACAAGTGTTGTATAAAGACCAACCCTTAATAACCCAAATAGAAACATTAACAGAATTCGACCTTAGTCAGGATGCAGTACGCAGCCAGTTGTGGCATATCAAATGTCAAGAGATGAGGAACGGGGTACCATATTCCAAGTGTTCACAACTACTGTATGGCCCGCAGCCTGAACCTGAAGAGTGGGCAGTAATTCAGTGGAAATGGGTGTGGAGAGGGTTGCAGCCTGGGTTGCCACACCCCTCGCTGCTCTACTTAGAACTCCTTAAAGGACGAGTGACCAGAACCCACGGGCACTCAGAAAGAAAACCTAAAGCTAGGACCTCAAAGAAACCGAAACTTTGACCGAACATGATTGGACCATATCCAACCTGTTGTTGCTGTCAGATGGAGTGGCAATTTAGATCGCACTCTTAAAGCAGCAAGTGAGGAGACAGACATGGTGCAATTGGATCCATCCAGACCGAGAACAACAACTAGACTGGTACTGTGATTGGGGCTGTTGGCCTCTGATGGGGCTGAGTCATCAGGGCTACTGGGAAGCTCAGGTGATCTATCCTGCCCCACTGAAGGATGACAGCTGCCAAACAATACTCCCTTGTTGGGAGTTTTGGGGCAACATATACTTAGAGTGCGATAAAATCCCACCTAGAAACATTACCAGGCCATTTCGAAATTCAACCAGGCTGAGAACCATTCACACGGTGAGATACAAAAAAGTGTTTAGACCTAATGCCACACTCATACGACCCCACACTCGGCCCCGGAAAGTACCAGGCAAACAGTCCAATCACACCAAGGAACTAGTAAAGGCCATGAGCAAACATTGTCAGTCACACAAGTTGAAAGAACTCCCCATCTGCTACTGGAACTTGTATGGTGAGTGCAAATCTCAGAATTATCTACCGATAACTCTCGTCATGAATCAACGGTATTATTATTGGAGCTGGGCAGCTATATTCTATCCTGTTAATGCCTGGCATGAAGATTGGCCGAATTTGACCTTACCTTGGGTCTCGGTGGTCCCGAACCTGCCCCACTTTGAAGGTGACTTTGCGGAAGGGCACGCTAGGACATACCTGGGCCTTCAGGGTCCCTATTTTTCTGATATGTACATGCAAAGGCTACCAAAACCAAACGAGCTCCTTAATGCTCCAAAAGAGATTTTGACAAAATAGACAAATGTGTGGCTGAACGTATTTTCAATAGCCTTAACAACTCAGTGTGGGAGAGTAGTGGTGCCTCGCCTAGATGCCAACTGTGGGAAACAGAAGTAGCAGTCATGTCGGCTTGGTGTTATGATTGTACTGAATTACTGGTGGCTGGAACTATCAAAGTCCTACTCCAGGCCTGGCATGAGTATCATAGTAGAGACAAGTCATGTACTTGGTAGGGTTTTCAGGAAGAAGAAATAAGAGAATGGGTCGCACCCTGTTTACACCACTCGTCTAATTATTGGATCAGATACCAATTTTTAGCAACCGTGTACTCCAAAGAACAGGACATTTGGTCCAGTCCATTGTACCGCCCAGATAGGTACGTTAGTCCGAGACCATGGCACATGAGTTGTGATAACAAAGTCACAGAATGTACAATAAGCCTGGCCCGAAGACCCTGTAGCGAGATTCCTGGATGGGAGACCTATTGTCAGAGTTACTATGGTACAGAATACTCTACTCATGCAGCTGAAGTCATGTGGAAAAGTATGGTAACCTATGGAGATGGTCCATACCAATTGACACTACTTGTACACAAGTCATTTTAGGACACAAGTTGAAAACCAGGAAAAGTCTCCAAGGAATAATCATCCCCTTCGTCTCAGACTCCATGATTGCTCTAGCTGAAGGACATGCCGTAAGACGCCGCCTGTGCCTCGGTGATGAAATACGGGGTTACGAATGAGTAGGCCCAAACAAGATTTATTCCAATTTCACTTGTCTATATCCAGAAGAAACCTGGAAAAAATGTGGCAAGGGAGAGGACGAACATAGCTGTGCATGGTGTGAAACTGTGAGTTACATGGTGGGCCGCAAGGTGAAAGAGGTAGTCCATGAAGTTGGGGAAGTGATCAAAGAAGGAGGAAAGACAGTTGAAGGGTGTATGGTTGACCTGTTCCTTCAGATCTGGCCTTATTTGGTAAGCCTAGTTGGAGTTGTGGCTGTTTCCTTATTAGGACGTGTGCTCCTACAAGAGTGTCTTAAAGCTATGTGCCGCCCATGGGGGAGGAACTACAAGCCACTCCCACCTGAACCGAGTGTCGGCTCAGCATAATAGGAGACAGACAAGGAAGTAGACTCACATCTGTCCCAGAGCAGCAGCAAGCAGGACCAAAGACCTGGATACTATAATGTCTAACTCCAAAAGCCTAACAGCAGGTTCAACTATGCCAGAAGTAAGTACAATGCTATGGACACCCTTCACTACAACAAATAGCTCGAACACTATGCTAGACTGCCCAACACACTATAAAGGGGGCAAGTACAATACTATCTACTGTTATGCGCATGGATGTGTTATTGCCACACTGGAGAATGGGATGACAGTCGATGGCTGCATTACTTTACTGCTCTCCAAAGTTACGTGAAGCTGATTGTTTCACACGTGTTACTTCAAAGAGCTGAGTTGCTGCCATCCCTGTTTGTCACTTACTTACTGGGACGAGTCAAACCAACCTCTCGACATATTGTCGTACTCACAGTTTGGGTGATTCTGGACTCCCTAGTGTTGACCCTTGAATGCATGGCAAATAACCAACCCATACCGGTGACCTCCCCACACTGCGGGAACGCAGTTGGATGCATAGTGGCAGTAGTAATGGAAGGAACAATCTCCATCACAGTCCTAGCACACATGCTGTATCTGACCCTGTCCTTGCAAGTTCGGAGAAGAAGACGTTGGACCCTGAAACTGGTTCCCCTAGTGCTATGGGGTTTGATGTGGGGAGTATGTTCCATCCTGTATTGGACCAGCGTTTGTACAGCAGTACCAATTATTGTCTGGATGATGACCTATGCTGCCATTTTCAAAGGTAGTATTGAAACATATCATGTTTGTGCTGATGTTCAATGTTTTATGTTATGAGTGCTTAGTGTATATTCAAAAAGCGTTCAATACAAAAACAACTGGACTTTATTTGTAACAGAAGACGTTTCGCTCCTCATCCGAGGAGCTTTCTCAATTCAAAGAGCAGAGAGTGAGAGATACAGGTTATAAGGCTGAGTGAGATAAGACACACACACATAAGGCACACACACACACACACATACTGTATATGTAGATTGGCAGTTCACACCTAAAAAAACCTAAACAGTAGGTCTTTGTTCCTCTAATTCACAGTCGAGGCCCCTCTGTTCCCATCAGGTGTGAAAAACGGCTGGGAAACGGCTGTTCCCATCACACCTGATGGGAACAGAGGGGCCTCGACTGTTAAGAGGTAATGTCAGGGCAAGAGAGTGTTGTTATGCTTCCAGCATTCTTGAGAAGTCACTGCATAAACTGTGTGCTGTCAAGGTGAATTGTAACAGGTTTGGCTAAACTTGGTTGGTTGGTTAGTGAGATAGACTTAGAGGGTTGAGGGTTTTACCCTGCCTTGGGGCTCCAAGCGCATATCATTCCACTGTGTAGGAATAGGCTGCTCTATAATAACAACTCAAGAGTTAGGAGACAGGACTCTCCAACCTGGCTCATCGGAGTCAGGGGAGCCACGTCTTGTGGACACAATAGGACCCTGAACGACACATAAAACCCATAAGACAGTCTCTGGAACCTAGCATGAATTCTCTGTCATTAGAATTGTTGGAATGATCAAATGTAATCAATTATAATGTGCTGATAACGCTGTACCCCTGCAAATCCTCGATTAAAGCAAAGCATAAAATGTAAAATTCTGGACTATCATTTCTACACTTTGGGTTCAAAAAGTTGGAAAAGCTTGGTTCAAATTCATCAAGAAAAGGAGGTTTTTAAAGGTTTCGCAGCTTGGATCAAACAACACCCTGGAATCTTGTGCCTAGATTCTAAAGCTACTAGCTCGGTAACAATTGTAGTTCTACATTAGGAGGTGAGCGGCCTAAAAATGCCAGTTTCCCCTTGATTAACGTCCTAACCCCGACTACTAGGTTGGACGAGTCTAGGGGTGAGATAAGGGTGTGGCTAGTAGCTGATGGTCGTGAACAGTCTGGGTGAATCACTTCCGATACAGCCTTAAGTAGAATCAACTTAACGTCATTTTGGGTAAAGCTCAAGTGCTAGATTGGTCCGATATACCCCTTAGAGGAGAGGCTGCAGTGGGGTTTTGCCATAACTCATGTGGTAACCTCTCTGGCTAGACAAACAGGGGGCGCAAAATGTTTACTTCTTCCTGGGGGGGGGGGGGGGGGGGCATAACAGAAAATAATTGAGAAGCACTGTATAATGCAATAATTGTCCCACACTTAATTTACTGTAGCGAAGGCTAAGGTAAAGCATGTAAAACAATTACAAATCCTATTTTTATTTTACAGAAAAGAGCTGGAAGAAATATCACTAGAAAAGATTATAGACATCCATCAAATACATTGTTTTATAAACTGAAGATATTAAAATTCTATGACTTGGTTGATTATAATACTTTGTATTTTACTTTTTATGTATAAGGCTCACAAAAACATACTACCTTCAAATATCCAAGTACATTTAGTTAAAAGGGACAGTGGTTATTATCTTAAGGGGATAGATGTTTGTGAAGCATTGGTTTTGTACCAGTTTTGAAGGAGCGGTCTACTATAACTCAGGGAATAGGATTGTGGAATGGTCTGAAGGATGATGTTAAAACTGCAACATCTATTTACAAATTCAAGAAAATGTTAAAGGTTAATTTTCTGAAGGAATATGGAAAAGTATAATGTGTATCTGTAGTATGTCAAGGGACAGCTTCACTGTACCTTCACTACTAATTAATTAAATATAACGGTTTCTTTCTTTTTCGAGTTAAATTAATGCCATGTGACCAAGATAACTGTGTTCATTGTTTAATCAGTGTAGTGAACCAGATGACCTGATGATCTGACCCTCATCTGACCCTGATGACCTCAAATCTACCAGATGGACAGAGACTGTTATTTTCATTGATCTGAATAAGTCTGAGCCATCTGATGACTTTCTTTCTTGAATTAATCAAGCAGAAAAGACAATCCCCTATAATCATTACTGTCTTACAAATGTTTTGATAATCAAATTGTGTTAGTTTCACTCAATGCTTACAGGTTGAAAAGAACTACTCATTTTTATTTTACATAAACAGTAAGTAATGATTTTATTCCCCATTCAAAGGAGAAATCAGGTTAATATGCATTTCTTGATTTTCTGTCTGAAATGAGCTAAGCTCGTAAGTATGTGAAAGGTTGGTTTTCGGTCAACTAAAATGTTTACCGAGAAAGATGTCATGTTTAAACTTTTTCAGAAGATTACCAAGAGTTGACTCCACGAAGTCTGCTCTCCTGCAATAATCTCTCTGTCAGTTGTTAAAACAATCTCATTCTCTGACCTTGGCTTAGATAACATCTTACGTCACAAAACCACTCCTCTTTCTGGTCCATCCACGAATCAGAAAGCTCTGAAGTAAACTCGGAAGTAAACTCATTTAAAATGTGACAACTTCCCGGTTCTGTAAGAGAGCAGTAGATTCCATGGAGTGCAGTTAGTTCTCAAGGAGTTCAGAAGAGAATTCAGTTATGGAGAGTTTTGGAGTTGGAGTCTGAGAAGATCTGAAAGAGTCTGAGAGCTGCTGACAATGAAGAGTCAGAGTTGCCGAGAATCCAGAGACGTTTTGGGATTATAATTCTGTTTTGAGCTAACCACGCACGACTCTCCAAGGATTTTAGCTGTTCTCAACGGAGACGCTGATATCAGTCTGAAGGGTTCTTACTGAGGTGATCTATCGTCAACAAGGTAACGGTTTCTTCTTCGACTAAAGTGTACCTGGGATAAGCTGAGATACCTGATGGGAGCGTGCAATTTCTGGTCAAACAGATTAAATTCCCTCACATATTCCTCTGTAAGATAAATCTCAATTTCCTCTTAAACTCACCTCTCTCTCATAAATCAGTACAGATATTTTTAGAAATATCTGAAGCAAAGTCCTCAAATCACCGCCGAGTGATTTGAAGTTCATTATTTGTGAAACTGTCTGTTATTATTTTCATATTTTGCCAAATTAATGTAAATGTTTGATGTTAAACTTTGATTCTGAAAATAAATGACTCCATTCATTTGATGGGTCAAAGATAATAACGTCTCTCGTTCGCATTTCTGTTAAAATTCAATGCACGACATTACAGTCAGAAAAATGAAGAACTCGTGAAAAGTATGCATAAATATATACCACATATATTTGTCATACAACTAGTGACACGTACCCACGTGACTCACTACAAACTGGTGGCCCGTTAACGTGCTCATAAATGACTGTAAAAACGTGTAAGATTGATTTAAATGTTGGCATGTTGAAAAAGTAACAGTTTATCAGCTGTGATTGAACGCAGCCGGAGCTGCGCGCTTGGAGCTGCGCCTTTCAAAGAGTTCTGAACATGTTCTAAGCGTTGGGCTAGTAATGTTTTAAAAGCTGAAATTGTGTCATTGAGTCTTTATGAAAGCTGAATTTGTACGTCTGTTACGTGTAACTAAGAGCTGATGAGCTGTGGAAGACGTTATTCTGTTTAAAGGTACGAGGTTCTGCTAAGACCCGGCTGTGGGTTCGGTTCGGTTCAGTTTGAACGAGTATTTTGAATAGATGGATAAACGTTTTAAAAGCTGAGCGCCGCCTCAGGACATAGTTAGGAGTTGATTCGTTACAATTTTTAACAGAAAAAGTGCATTTTGACAGTTTAAAAGACGAAAAAGATGACAAACTATTTTTCAGGCTAAACCTAGCATGCTGGCTGAAAACGTCTCCTGATTGGTTGAATGTTGCTGTGTGGAGCGCTCTGATTTGCTGAGAAGTTTGACTGACGTGCTACGTCATCTCCCCTCACCCCTGCGCTGCTCTGTCATTGGCTGATTGACGTGTCAGTCACGTCACCCGGAAATGAAATTCGTTTTCATAGGGAAATAAAATCTGCTTTTTAAAGCTGAAAAACGCCTCTAAAGTGATTCTAAACACGCTGGTTAAATGCTTCGAAGCTATTTGCTGAAATTTTGCTACGTTAGAGTTTAAAATTCGTCAAAAAACGATGTTTTTAAACAACGCTAGCGATGCTAATTTTAAGCTAAACAGCTAACGACCGGAGTTTAAACTACGCTTAAAATCACTAAATGAAGCTGCTATATAGTTCCAAAAACTCATGTTCAGGCTAAGAAGTCGTGTTTGTTGAAATTTTGCCACGTTTGTGTAAAAAATCCGTTCAGAAATGTTGATTTTAACCGAGTTTAGCCGAAGCTAACTTCAAGCTAAGCGGCTAACAACAGGATGTCAACCGAACGCCACAGGAAGTTATAGCTCCCCTAGTGGATAACACAAACAGTGTCTGAGTTAAGATTAGTAAGGTAAGGCTGACATCTTCTGGACAACCTTGAGAAGACAGGTTTCACTCGCTTTTTTAGGTCTAAACAGTGAAATTAAACGTTTTAATCTTTCTAAAAGCATTTTCGAGTCAATAAACGTTCCTTAAAGCTGAAAATTACTGTTATCTTGCATTTTAAAAGTTATAAGGTATTTATGCAAACGAGCATTCACCAAAACAGTTTTATTTCACTGGTAATCCCTTAAAACTAAGGTACAAAAATAAACATTAACTTTTTAAAAATAGAAACAGTTACAGATTTTCACAAAGTTGGAAAAAGTTTACTCATTTGCTAAAAGGATAGTGCACGTTTAATTGATAAATCACTAAATAAAAGTAAATACATCAGACAAAGAGACTTTGCTGATTTTATTTATTTTGAAAAACCTAAAACATTAAAATTCTCCTGTTTAATCTTTAAATAGAAGAAAAATGACAAGCGAAGAAGAAGAAGACAACTTTTCAAAACCAACAAATGATGATATCATTTTGGGGGCCTTAAATATTTTGACAAATCCACTAATTGGCAAAGAAATACAACAATTAGAACAACTTGATGAAGCTCAAAGACAAGAAGAGCTGAAAAGTTTGGCCGCAGGAACATTAAAGACAGAGAGTAAAAAGCTTAGCCTTGAACGGTTAGCAAAAATCTCTCTGCTTCTAAAAGCTGAATTGGATGAACGGTCGGAACGCCTTGACTGGATGTCTAAAACACATGAGAAGGATCTCTCAGAAATGCAGGCGTCACTAGAAGCAAAATCTTATGAAAAGATTAAAGAAATAGACCGTCAGTACAAAGCCACGTGTGCAGATAACGAGGTGCTACAACAACAGTTGCAGCTTGCAAAAACTGAACTGGAACAATGCAAAATAGATAAACAAAATCTACAAAAGCTACATATGCGCTTAGAAGGTGACTACTGTACATCCCAGGAACATTTAAAAAAATGTGAGGCGAAACTAATAGCAGCAATAGAAAAAGGTCAGAATGTTGTTCAAGGTGACCTGGAATCCAAACCAGACCTTGAACAAAGTCGGACTAATACACCAATTACTCAACGACCTCTTTACTCACACAGTGCTTCTAGACCCATCCAATCACCTACACAAACGGGCAGAGTAACACCCCCACAACTGATCACGCATGTGAGACCATTGATATCTTCTCCATCAATGGATGACTTGCAAAAAATCTCAAAATATGTACAACGTTTCATCCCTGAACCGTTGGGCTCCGCTGGAACAAAAGCGTACCTCAGAGATCTGGATTTCAGATTGAGAGCTTATCCAAACGCTACGGTAGAAGATAAAATCAGTCTGATACGACTCACTTCGGACAGAGAGGTGTTTACCTTCATCGAGCGTCTACCAGATGCAACGAGAAGGGATTACAAACTTCTGTGTGAAGCTCTGATCAAAGAGTACGACTCCTGCGCAGGGCCTGCTGGGTATCCAGCCGCAGACAAGGTCACGCAGGGCAAGAATGAACATCCAAAAGTTTATTACAAAAGAATCTTCCAAGCTTATTTTGGTAGCAGAAATGAAACCGGAATGGAGGAAGAAGAAGGTTTTAAATTTGTTTTCAGCAAAAATCTCCATCCTGACATTCAAACGTCAGTGCAAATGATGGCAAATTACAGAGAAAAATCCATCAGTGAGATTAAACAGTGCGCTGTGAACGTGTTTGAGGCACGTTGTCATGCCAAGACGCCCATAGAAGTGTTTCCTGGTGTAAAGGTTAAACCCCACTCCCTAGAATTAGAAGGAAGGCGTGCATCGCCACCCCCTCCTAAAAAAGGAGAAAAAAGGCAGTATTTTCAGACTAACAAACCGCATCATGAAGGTGCACGCTGGGACAAAAAGGCTCCTCCTTCAGAGGACGAATGTGATTATCGTAAATGGGACCAGCGGAGGACGCAAAAAAATGGGAACCGAGAGGAACCCCAAAAAGACGTACCTAGCCGCCCCCCACCTCGGACGAAACGTCCAGAGGCGAAGAAATCACAAAAATCCCAGAAAAAAGGCCCTCCACCTCTGAGCTCGGAAGAGACAGAAAAATTGCGTGAAATGTTAGAAGATTTGAAACACACTGACAAGGGAAGCCGACCAAAAGCACTATGCAGTGAGGTACTCACTACAGCATCTCTGGGCGCGAATGACAACACTACAGATGTCGGTGAAACACACCAAGACGTTGCTGTTGTTGCCTCAAACAACCCCTCATCGGATGAAAGGGGGGTAATCACACACACAAACGATGACCAGTCATCGCAAGCTGAA